TTTTTTTTTGTGAACGAAACAAACGAAACATAAGAATTGCTTTGAAATAAAATATATAGTAAAGTATATTCCTTCTTACCTCTTCTTCGATCCAAACTATCTTGATGAATGTTATACAAACACAATATACAATATATATATATTTAACCATTTTGATTTTTTTTTTTTGTAAATATACAGAACGAAACATAAGAATTGCTTTGAAATAAAATATATAGTAAAGTATATTCCTTCTTACCTCTTCTTCGATCCAAACTATCTTGTTATCATTGATGAATGAAGAATCAGGGTTGAAAATGATAATAGTTTTATAGCTCCCAATATAAACAAAGACTTTTTTGATACTGAAAGTCACGATGTCTCCTCTTTCAACCTTCACTTTTAATTTATGTTGACCGCTGATGAATAATAACATTGTAACTCGAGCAATCTGCGAGCTCTTAGAGCTATTTATACAAGTCTGATCGAAAATCTTAACAAAGTACATCGCGATCGAATTCTGTGAAGCACGTATCCAAGCGCAATGGCGTGAGCAACGAGGAGGTGCAGTCGTAGTTTTTAAACTATTTTGTTAACAACAATTTGCGACACAGACATCTATACTTTGTGCTAAATCGTTACAGCCACGTTTATTAACGAGTAAAGGAATATATTTAATATCTTGTCAAACTAGCAAGCTGTCGAATGTCAGAAATAAAGCCAATAATGAAAAACATATCAAATAAAATATATATTAATTAAAAAATACTAAAAGCAATGTGACATGTAGAAGATTGCAACTTTAACGATTTAAACAAATTAACAAAACAATTAATCAAACATTAACAGAACAAATTAATCTTCAAGATGCCACAGAATTTACAAAAGGGAAGACTGTTTCATCTGAACATATTGTACACTGTATATATATATATATATATGCCAACCGCTTCATGTTCGTCAATTACGTTAACGCTGTTAGCGATTTAGTGTAAAATGTCTGTGATTTGCACAGGAAAATATGCATCTGCCGCATTGTTCGCGCATACACTGCACTCGAACACATACTTCACAGTCCGACAGCCACATTGAATTCGTCGCATGATACCGTTTACGTCACTTTGACCGCACCATTTCTACGCATTCATTATGTGTTCCATTTCGCAGTAAATGAATAATACACATATGCAGAATTTGATATTGCGTTAAGAAAAAAAAGCCAGGTTAACACTTTGACACCCAGTAAATGTTTCAATTCGAATTAAGCTTGATATGCGATGAAAAGACTCGATACACAAGAGATTAAAAACAATGTTTCGTATATAAAATTGTTAGACTACATATTAAAATAATATAATATGCTAATTTTACGAATTATTATTAACGATACGAACAAAATTTTTTATTGAAAAGAAAAAAGAATAATTTAATATAATGATTCAATGTATTACGATGATAATTGCAATAATAAAGAAAAGTTTTATCAAGAAAATATTGTAGTAGTATTATAAAAATATAAAAAAACTATTTGTTGCTTAAAATAATTGAGTTATGATTAAAAATGGAAAATATAACGTGTTCCATAGAAAAAAATAGTTTGATAATTTTAATTGTCGCAATTATGATCAAGAATGAAGTCGATGTTGCCAAAGTGTTATAAATCACATCAATTTGTAGAATAATCACCAGAGAAATAATTATAAGCAACTAAATTTTTTACACAATATGCTAATGTGCTTTTTTTGGCCACAAAGCAACATATAATTACCTGCGAGAATTGGACAGGTCGTAGAACATTGCGAGGAATTGGTTCATCGGACGTTTTATAACTTTTTGCGGCTTTTTACGGCCGAGTTTTTTCATGGCAGTGTAGTAGTGTTTTTGACTCTCGGTCAAAAACATTTCTAACACCCCACCTTCGTACTGAAAGAAAAATTGTTGCTTTATTATTTCACACGCTGAATCACGAAAGTTTTATGAACATCAGTACACATGAAAACAAAGTTTGCAATCAATATTTAAAATTATTATACTTAAATGCTTTTATGTACATTTCAAAAATTTAATTCTCAATAAAAAAATAATGTATTTTAAATTTGTTAAATCATCTTTACGTATAATTGCATTTTACGCATTATAACTGTCTATTCACAAATGCTCTTTTGCTTTGTATCAAAATTTTTATAATTATAGATTGTTCTTGTTTTATATATATTAAAACACAAAATATTCCCCCCACGTGATAAAAAGTTTTTAACTTTTAAGGATTAAACTTTCACTGGATTATGTCAGTAGCGCTCACCTTTTTCTTCAGCATGTTAAAATTATCTATGATCACTCCAATAAAAAGATTGAGCGTGAAGAATGAACCGCAGACGATGAATATAACGAAATAAAGATAGGCGTATAGATTCGCCTCTCGCTGCGGTTGCAGATCCACTCCTCTCGCATCTACGGCATCCTCCATCACCTCCATCCATCCCTCGAAAGTCGCCACTTGAAACAAAGCCAGGTAAGCGATGCCAACATGATCGAAAGTGATCTTGCTGTTCTCCCAAGAGTAGTTTTTGCTGAAACACTCCTCCTTGGTATTCACTATCTAGAAACAAAATGATTGCATCGTCAATAATCATGTAATTACCAATTTTAAAATTAATAAACAGATTGTTGTTTGCAAAATATTTTTTATTAATATTATATACATATAAATATTAAATAAAAACAATAATTTTATTGCGCTATCTCCTTATACCATTCTCTTTATCGATATTCAGATCAGACTGATTGATCCACTTACCGAGATGTCCAGCATTTCCCCGTACTCGTCGACACATTTAAAAAACTTGCCGCCAAAGAATTGAACGCCCATTATCGAGAATATAAGCCAGAACACGAGACAGACGAGGAGCACGTTGAATATACTGGGTATTGCATACATCAACGCGTTCACTACGATCTGAGAATCGGGAAGAAAAGATCTTCTCAGTGATATGCGCAAGTGCAATTCGTGTGTATTATGTGCTGACTTCACATGAGTTTTCTTAGCTTGTTCTCGATATTTACCCTCATGCCTTGCCATCTCGAGATCGCCCGCAGCGGCCTCAGGGCGCGTAGTGTTCTTAGCGATCGTAATACTTTGAGGTTCTCATTTTCTTCTATCAAAAGACTAAACATGGATACCTGTTCAGAAAAAAATACAATTTAATCTCAATATTGCTTATCTAACTTCTATCGAGAGACTCATGCAAAGGAATATATGTCGATTTTTTTCTGATTTATAATTAAAGCTAATACAACAAAATTATTTTGAATAAATAAAATTTTAAAATAGGTATTTATATTTGGCGCATTTTTGTAACAGCTATAATACTTGAAGAACGTGATAAAAAGTAAGAGCAGAAAATATCACGTATTTCTAAATAATAATCTAATAATTGTCATAATTGCATGAGCGTTTTAAGAAGTCTATCGATTATGTATAAAGGTACATGTATAAAAAATTAAAATTAATTTTTTTATTTGTATATATACATATATTCGATTTTTATTTTCAGTAAATTTTGGTATATATATTGCGTGTAACTAGATTACGGGTAAATGTAATTGGAAATCTTATGCAGAGAATTATAAACAATAAGCTGTGCAGAAAATTAGATTTGCAAGCTACATTGATTAAGCAAGATTGATACTACATATGCATGAAAAAATAGGGTGTTTATACATTTTAGATTGCATTTATGAAAACATATGCAAATAATTTCAATATATCTTCTGGCATATTAGATATTAAGAAATTTCATTTTTCCTCAATTAAGAATAAAGTTAGAGTTTATATGACATTGAACATTTTTCATTCAACTTTTAATAAATGATAGAAATCAATTATATATCTTTTGCTAAAGTATCATGTAAATATTGAAAGAAATATGTAAAAGTTTTAAGTGGAATTTTAGAAAATGGAAACAATGCGATTTATCAGAAACCAGAAAATATCGTATTATTTTTTAACAGTATATTTTTCTTTCTTTTTTTTACCAATTTATTAGATATCCCTTTCGTGTATGAACGACTTGAATTAATAACTTATGAACCCACCTGCTAATCTGTATATAATTAAAAACAATATACCTATATAAAACATGCATTTATACGAATGATATTTTTAATTGACATAAACAGATATTGAGACATTAACTTTCTCAACGTACCTGGATCCACGGGGCCACACATAAAACATGTAAAAACAAGGAACACGGAAACAATGTTCAAACAATTATCACGCATATTTCATTCAATGTATGCTCTCAATTATTTTCGTCTTATCCTATATACAAAGTGAACCATCTCAGTTTACGATATAAAATAATTGTTACAATTTTCATTGCAAACGAAAGCTCTCAAGAAATTGTTGAATTAAAAAAAAAACTTATAAAGCTTTTAATCATCGCTGTAAGTCTTTGAAAAGGATATCTCTCTCTATATTAATTATTCTATGTGCCATTCAATGGCATATAAAATAAATATTTCTCGTTAGCAATTAAAATTGTAAAAGCTATTTATTCAATAAAGTTAGGTGGCTCACTCTCTCTGAATACAAATACGTCTGATGGAGGACAAGCAAGGAAATTGACAAAACGACTCATGCTACAGTGATACACGCGCGCGCTTGTACACGCAGCGTTTTTGCATTTTATTTGGATTAAATGCGACGATTCTGATCGTACTTACGAAAACGATTATAAAATCCAGGATTGTCCAGAAACTGGTGAAGTATTTACAGAAGCCTAGGGCTAGCCATTTCAAGAGCATCTCGATGCTGAAAAGTGCGCAGAAGCCAAGATTGGTCCAGTAGAGAAGTTTCTTTAAAAAAGGATTGTCATCCAAGTAGATATCCTCAAAGCACAGCGTTATGGAAGATGCGAAAATGAAAACTAGTATCATCCATTCGAAAACAGGCGTGTCCACCACCGACAGAACGGCCGTACGAACTTCTATCCACTTCTTGCCGATATCAGTAGCGAGGCAATGATTAATACAGCTACATCTAAACACAATCGTATGTATATCGAACATTATCTAATTGTAATTGAAACATTTAGAAAAATCGCGTATACGTAAACAAATTAACAAATTAGTAAATTGTAGTTTCGTGTCTTTGTAGGTATTAAAATATGACTCTCAACGTGATTTTCAAGTTTATTATAAATAAATAATTTTAGTGTTTTATTTAAAAAATTTTTAAGTCAACGTGAATAAACAAGAAAGTAGAGAAATATTTTTTACTTTTGATAAAAGTGCTGGGGAAAGCAATCGAGCGGCTCCCTCCGCTCCTTATTTCTGCCAAATCCCGGGAACGAGCCCATCCCGTCGATGTATCTCCCTTTACTGTCTCTTCTACCTCCGACCGTGAGTTCATCCACGTAACTTACGAGGGCGTGCCATGGACGTTTCTCCATATCATCGTTCTGTGCAGGTGGCTTTTCTTCTGGCAACATAGCCGCTTCTTCATCCGTCTTGTTAGTGTCTTTGAGCACGTCCAGTTCTATACTCTCCTCGGGATTGGTTTCGTTACTGTTGTCCTTCTCGGTTAACTTCTTGTTTTCCTTAACTGTCTCTTGGCTGCTCTGGCTGTAGGTAGTGAGAGTGGCCTGGCGATAGATCGGATCATATGTGAAGACCGGCTGATTGAGACTCTCCTGATACGACCTATTGTAAATATTGTCTTTGGGAAGGCTCAGCACGGTTTCTTGGATCGCGTATTTCTCCCTATCCGACTTGTCCATCACCTCGCGCACGATCTGTTCCAGCCGAATGTTTTTCTCATTCTCGGAATTCTCCTTGCGGTACTTTTGCTTGCGTACGATTGACCGTATACGATCAAACGATCGCGCGAGCTTCGAGTCTTCGCCGACCTCCTCCTTCTTCTGCTTCAGCTCCTCGGAATTAAAACTGTTGAGCAACAACGCCAAGAAGAGGTTGAGGACCATGAAATTGCCCATTACCAGAGCTGGCAGGAAAATGGCAAAGCATGTGCCTGGCCCGTCGTCCCTCTCCGCGCGCATGCAATCCCACAGTGGCTCGATCCATTCGCCGCATAGGATACGGAATATCATCATAAACGAATGGAAGAAATCGTTGAAGTTCCAGCGTGGCACTGGGTCCGGATAGAACTTATCCAGAGTGTAGTCTTTACTAAACAACTGCATGCCGATCACAGCGAATATGTAGATCACAATCACCAGGACGAAGGTCAGATTACCGAGCGCGCCGATCGTCGAAATGATGATACTGAGGAGAACCTTCATGGTCGTCCAAGACTGAGCAAGCTTCAGAACGCGTAGCAGCCTGAGACCACGTATCACTGACAAACCGTCCACCAACTCGAATGTTAAATCGATAAGCGACGCGGAGACGATGATCAAATCAAAATTGTTCCAGCCATTGTTGAAGAAATCCTTGCTTAGCGCCAGGAGTTTCAGGAAGCATTCGAATGTGAAGATGCTGGTGAACACTTTGTTGCCAATGTTGAGCGCTTGCCGTATTGACTCGCTCATGCCATGATGCTCCATCGCCAGGAAACCGGTGTTTAGGACGATGCAAAGGGTGATCGTTAGCTCGAACAAGGGATCTCTCACCACCTTGATATGATTCATTTTAATGCCGTCATATGGTTACGAGAAGATGCTCTTTAAATTCATGTACATGATTTCCCTTTGTGTAATTAAAGTTAAAAAAGATTAAAGGGAGATCATTATTTTATGCGTTTCTCTAAATTTTAATGCGACAGAAATGAATTCTAATACGATTACATGGCATTAAAAACCGTTTCATGAAAACGCAGAACGGTTAAATATGTTTTAAATTTGTTCCGTGGTAATTGGTGGCCATTTATTAGAATTTATCACAACAAATGCAAATTTCCCCGGGATAAAGATCTTAAAAATAGTAGATATCAGTAATTTACCTTATACAGGCCGTTCTGAAATCGTAGCCATCCTTCGTAATCTACGCAGCATTGAATACATTTATCGCAGTTTCTATCTGGAAGATCATCTGTAAGAATATATCATATATCTATGTTAATTCATCTGCAATGTATATTTTTAAAAAATCTCGATATTACAAATTTGATTAAAAAATATTACAATAGATAAAACTATAATTTTTTTTTCTGTTTTTCTTTCGCGAAATATGTTTGAAAATTTCATTAATCCAGTTATAGCCAATATTATTTCAATAAATAATGCAATATGTACAGCCATATATTATCTATTGCAAGCTGAAATATTCAACATTTTAATTAATTAAACCATAAATTGTGCAATTCTAAAAAAGCAAGTTTCACGCGGTTTTTAAACAAATATATATAGTCGGATAAAAAAGTTTTGACGTCAAATTAGCCAGAGAATTTTACTAATACAATTACAGCGAATGTTATTTCAATAAACATATATGCAGCAAATATTATATGTTACAACTTTTGAATATTCTCCCTCAACATTGAAAAAAAATCAAAGAATTTTAATTAATTAACTTACAACATTTATACAATACTAAATAAACAAGATCAATAAGCTGTTTCCTCTACAGTATTTCAATTAAGGGAAAATCATTTTAGTCTGTTAATCCAGTTGCACAAACTGTATTGTTTCAATAAACAACTGCGGTCAACAGCCGTTAGTTCCCGCTCACCTAAAACTACAATGTGCGACAGGTACTCTGGCGGCAGCGTGTACATATGTTTCTTCGTTTTGACCCCGTTGCACTTGAGTACCCGAATCTCTCGGTTACCAGTCCTCACCGACACCGTGACCGGTGCTGGTGGGCAATCCGGACGTGGCTGCTGTTGAGCCAGCTGAGTCCTGCTATGCTCCCTCGGAGACTTCTCCTGCGATCTTTCGGCGCGATGTTCTCGCGACTCGCGTTTGTCATGCTGCTCCTCGGCCGATGTGACGTCGTCGCCATCGTGATCGTCCACCACCCCCGAATCGTCTAGCGATGACTGTTGATTACTGTTGTTACTGGCCTGTCTGGAGTGCAGCATGCCCCGGTTCGGTGCCAGCCGGTGAACCGTATTGGGTTCCGGCAGTCTGGGACTGATGTTCTGGAGCGGCAAGTGAGAGGGTCGTACATTGGAGTGCCTGGGACTCGGACTCGGGCTGGGTGTCACGGACCTGCAACGTAGTTCCCGTCATACTTCAGGACGAATTCAGCAGTTCGTCGTCGAGGGAGAACGTGCAATCCCATAGAGCGAAGTCTAGACGAAAAAAATTTAAATTTTATGAAAATGCACATAATTGGTTCGCTACGCGAGTACGTATGCAATCCAGAAAAATATTATTCAGACTGAATTTAATATTTCCTTAATCTTTATATGTTACGTAAAAATATAATTCATACTTTAAAATTTCGTATTTATAAAAAAAATAATGTGCAAATTTCGAACTGGTAAAGTACAATCCAATAGATTCCAATTTTTAAAGGACTCGTATCGTGCTGCACAAACGAATGATTATTCGGAACATTAAACTAAGTAGTCTCGGGATTGCATGGAGGTACAGCCAAGTTCAAGCAGCGAAATCGATCTAATCGCTTCTAGTAATGAGCGACATTAACCATGGGAATATCAGGCACTGTCTATATGCATCCGGTCATTTCAGCTCGTAGAAGACATTATCAAAACTATATACAGCTTGTTCAAGGAAAATATGAAATTAATTGCTATTAATTTATTCATGGACATATTAAAAGATTATGAGAGATATGCGATGAGAAGGATACAGAGAAGAATTGAAACAAGATAAATTTCGTATCATAAAATTGCTATAAGATATCAACTATAGATTAAAAAAGGTGAAAAAAGACTGTATTATTTATAGCCCTGCATTATGCATCTCACAAGTAATTTCTTTTATATGATTCTAATAATAAATAATTTGCCTTTTCTTGATTCTTTTATGAAGACTATCAATTGACTATCAATTTTCCTTCATTATGTTAGAATAAAATTTGAAGAATTGAATGCGTATATCACAATTAAAAACGTGTTGAAACACACTATACGCTACTTTTTTCATCTAGTTTCTTTAATCAATTCGGAATCTAGTTTTCATCCGCAAAAATATGAAAGTGTGAATAATTTAAATCAACAATTTTATTACAAACAAAAGAAATAAAAAGATATCGGCGAATAAATATTCACAGGCACAAATAGATGATAAAGCTTTGTTCTTTATAACTCGTTTATCAAGACAACTTTAATTTAACAAAATCATTATTAAAATTATATTTTGCTGCAAAATAAATAAATAATATAAAAAATAACATGTAATAAAATTTTTGTTAAATCAAAAAAGGACTGCAAGTTAATCTAAAAATCCTTAGATATAAAGTGATAATTTTAATATACATTGTATAAAGTTCGTCGAAATGTGCGTTTCATATGATACGGCCTACCGTCGGAAGATTGCAAGACAAGCTCGTTTCCCTTCTTCGCTTTTATTACAGTTCCCTGAAAATGAGGGTGTTTATGATGTTTCTTTCTTTCTATTTTTTTGGAACAAACTCCCTATATATAGTTTAACGACTTTGTAGCAAGCTACATGTACCGGGGATAGAAATTACTTCTCTGTGTATGGGGTAAACGCATAAAAGCACCCAATACTTTTAGCGCGAAGATGCTGACAGAATTAAGATTAGTTTCGTTGCACCTGTTATAACTTTTCATTTCTATTCTTACTTACGTACGTATATGTAAAAAACATTCTAATATTTTCACTATTAAAAAAAAAAAGAACATAGCAAATTTACATATCATGCAAAATCCATACTCTTACTAACTTTCTCATTTATACAAAAGACTTTAGAGATAAAAAAAATTATACTTTTCCAAACTTTTAAATAACATATTAAAAATATTTATTTTCTATAATTATCGTGTTTTCTTAGAAATAAAGAAAGAGAAGAATAAATGCTATAATTTCAAACATAAATAAGCACAAAAAATATGTCTAGTCATATTTTCTAAAGCGTTCTCTCGGTCACGATCAAAACACGATCAAAAACTTTACTTTATTCATATGATCCGTAATCGTGTAACTCGCCGCGAATATTTCGCAACGATGGACGTGACAAATCAAGCTACAGAAAAATGTCGATCGTAAATATAGATATAGAAACCTGCTGCGAGCACCACCGTTTTTCTCCTGACCGGCGCTGCTCCTTCCACGTTTTCTTCTACGCGTCTTCTTTCTTGTATAACTGCTGAGCAATACGCCTTTACGGGCGTCTATTCTCTTTTGTTTATCTTTCGTTAGGGTCTTAATGTTGATCTTTGACGGGTCGAAACTAAACGTCGAGTCCTCACGATGGTCCGTCAAGTCTTTCCTTCGTTCCTATTATTGCACAAAAAAATCGATAAAGTTGCAAAAATATAAAATACTATCAACAAATTAGATTTCGCAATTTTTTATCATTATTTTAAATTATTGATTATCATTATCGTAGAAATGAGACATTTTGCACATTTTTTTAAAGTAATATGTCGTTTAATTTATAACTTTAAAGTAAGATGTGTATTATTTTATATATAGATATAGATGTGTGTAGTGTATTCATCAAGATTTGAAGTAGAGTGCATACCTCGTTTGTAATCTCGGCTTCCTCTTCATAACTCAACGCCACGACGGCCAGCATTAAGTTTAGTAGATAAAATGATCCAAAGAATACGACCACCGTGAAGAACGAGACGCTAATAGGTCCGCACGCCGACAACACCTGTGCCACAAAACACGTTATTTATCATCTCGACAATACATTCATAGCCGTATAAAATGTAACGAATATATATAAAAAATGCGGTTATTAATATTTTTCCAGAAAATGTATTTAAATGTAAAAGTTTCAAATTTCAATTTTGTTTTCACATTTTCATGAAATCCGATAGTTGTTTTTATTAAAAATTCACTCCTCTTTTAATTTCCTAAATATAGTTGCTAACCCCCCCAAAAAAAAAGAAACAAATATAAAGAAACGTTTTAAAAAATTTTTCGATATTTGATCTAGCTTTCTCGCAGACTGATTAAAAAAATTTAAAAATATGACAAAAATCGAATTTAACTATAGTTTATGTCTATATTCGTGGGATAAACAAAGATTTAAAAAATCTCTTAGATGACGACCTTGTTGTAGACATCCTCCCAATAATCCAAGGTAATCAGCTGAAAGGTGGTGAGCATTGACCACAGGAAATTATCGAAGTTGGTGTAACCGTGGTTTGGATTAGGGCCAACGCAGAGACAAGTGTAGCTTTCGTTACAGTGCCTGGAAAATAGGTAAGACCTACATCGTCGACACCGCAATATCCGTGATAGCCGTGAGAACGTTTCAAGTCTGTCTGCACTATCATTATTAAGTGCGGAAATATTACTTTGCCGCGGCCTTTACTATGTCGAGCTTTTCCACGTTATAGTCTGTGTAAATATCGACTACTCTGCACTCGTTGAATGAAAATAATTAAGACTTTTATTTTGCAAATTAAAACGTAAAATTCTATAACTGTATATTTTACATTATCATATTCTTCAAAATTTCACAGCCGAAAAAAATGTTATTTTCGATATCATCTTATAATATTTATTCATTCTCTTATCGCGGAAAAGATTTCGCGGAAAAGATTTCACGTTGTTAAACAAAATCTAAATATTATAAGATGACATCTTTCTAACATAGGTATCAAATAATATCCAATTGCATTACATATAAAAAAGAATTGATATTTTACAAAATAAATTTTTATTAAATTTTTTTTATGAAGTCTGCTAAATACAATATTCATGAAGCGAGATTGTCATAGGCGTAATATCTCCATACGCTTTACTCGGCTGAGTTTCTTACAGGAATGTCTCGAAAGTGCAAAGAAACCTTCAGCTTCGAACGTATCGATCCAATAAAAAGCCTACTTTCCCTGCTGCGGAACATAGCGCACCAAAAGTATGCCGTAAAGCTCGTGCGCCACGTAAAGTAGTAAAGCTTTTGCAAACTTATTTATACGAGTCGAACAAATTCCGTCGCGCATACGTGCGGCCGACGTAATCATTTGGGGAATGGATGCTGCGGCAAATCGATAAATATGGAGGAGGCACGCTCGTACGTTTCGTCAAAGTGTACGAGATAAACTTCGAACAAGCTGCGATACCACGAGGGTAATCAAGTATAACTGGATGCCATGATGGAAATATGTCAACGTGATTAACTGGCAAATATGATATCAATCATATGGCAAATATAATTAATAACAAATCGTTAGCAATTATCCGTAACAGTTTGTCAAAGATCCTATATAGTTGTCGACATTTGATAGATGATTTATGTTTCAGCGTAATGCGAAAATGAGTATCATGTTTTTGCTACAATATTTATAAACAAATAAAAAAAAAACATTTTTGTTAGAAAAATGTTATGGAAGAATCGTAATTTGCTATTCTAAGATTTTATATAGATCGAGAAGAATATAAAATCAAAGTTTTATAAATCTTACTCTTCGTTATTCTCTTTCTACGTTCTCGTTCTACTTTCATACATTCATTTTCTTTCTAAAAAGAATTCAAAATTCTTAAAGTTTAAATTAAAGTTAGCTCTCTTCGCAGATATTTTATTTCACTTCAAATAAATTTTTACGTAGCATGGAAGAAAATTTTCATCGGGGAACCATAGATTTCTCGAGTATCGAAAACCGGACGTGACAATGAAAAATTTGGCAAATTTCGTTACAATATAGACACATCGACTCGAAAAAGTATCGCCCAAATACTCAATTTTTCTCGCTCTTCCTCTGCTGTCTCCTTGCAAGGGCAAAATCGACTAGCACTTGTCTGGAGATGTTGATATGAGGTAACCTCGCGTCTTGAATTAGCTTATCTGAAGTGGGATTGAACGTCAGATAAATGGAGAAACACTAACCTGGCGCCGGTTACATTGCCGCAAATGATTGGCTCCTCAGCCTCGTTGAACGCCCAATTGGATGAGTTCCAAGTCCACCTGTTGGCGACACGAAAATTCCGTTAGCGTTCTTACAAGCTCGTGATCTCCGAAGATTTAAAACTAGAGAACACAATTTCCGTCGCCTTTCTCCGCGTATCTGTGTGTATTTTTGTGGCAAGAGGCAATCAATATATTAAATCAATTTTCTTCACTTCAACTGCTGTCTTTTGCTGTCAATTTGATACAAACAAAAATTAAATCAACTAAATAATATCCTTTATAAAGTGTGACAATAGAAACGTATTTTTCTATTTAGAGATTATTTTTATATCAAAATTACACTTTCAAGCATTTATAGTACGAGATAACACGAGATATTTATTGCATTATTGATTGACATAGAGAAAGAACAAATCAAAAATGTTTTTCAAGATTTTAGAATATATATGTATATTCTTAGACTAAAATAAACTCTCTCGTAATTAATTGTGGATATAAATTTTATGCAAGCGGTAAATGAAAACAACTTACTCGATCCAATCGATTTGCGTGGCGTTCGGCTCTTGATGCTTCACGCATTTATTTCTAAGTTCTCCCATATAAACCTGCAAAGCGAACAGTGCAAAAACCATCAGGCAGAAAATCGTCAGTGTCATTACTTCGGCAAGTTGCTTGAAGCTGTGCAACAGTGCGTTGATGATAGTCTTTAGACCTGTAACACATAATAACAATACGGAATATAATTCACCAATATAGTTCTCCATTTGATTAAGAGAAGATTGCTTTTTATTTAACAGCTCTAAATTGATATAAAACATTACTTAATAATAATAATTAAAAATTTGTGACTAAAATAATGATTTTCTATCGCGCGAGCTTTTAAATTCATTAAAAAATCCAAGACTCACATGAATAGTGGTAATTGCACGTTCATTGTAACGATTAATACTTAATCGCACAAAAAAAAACAAGCGCGATTATTAATACCAGTCGAAAGTAAATCACGGCTAATGCAACCAAAAATTTCACAGTCGGCGTGATTTTGTTTAAAAAATTTTCCTATTGATCTATTGCCTGAGATGCAGCATTCATCGGTTTTGCTCCAATGTATCGTTAGCGGGCATTCATTCATCGGTTCTTTAGGAAACTTTTCCCTTGGGCGAGCCCGAGTCTATTGCCCCGCGGCCTCTATTGTTGTTGAAAACGCCATCGGTTTGCGTCTTGCACGAAGCAAAGACTTATTTCTTATTGGTGACATATCCCGTTAAACACGAATGGAGATCCTTAAGATTTATTAGATTAATAGAAAAAGTCCTCATTAAAAATTCTCTGGCAGTTCGTATTAATGCAAATATGTGCACACAATAATCAGCCATGTTCTCATAGTGCCAAAATACTAAAAAGAATACGGTTTATACAAGAAAGAAAATTTTGAAAACTTGTATAAAAAATTTGGATGATAATGCGGACATAGAAATCTTAAAATGCATAACATTAATTTTTCTTTCTAGAGCGGTAATTTAATCGTAAATTTTAAAAAAATGTACCTAGGAATAAAATAGAATATCTATTTAAACAGCAAGATAAAAATTTTTTAGCGTAAAATATATTCAGAAAAAATTGTTTATCCGCTTTTGTTGTTTTTTTAACTCTAATATTTTGAAATATACGAAAGGGAAAAAGCTTTCCACAGTCAAATCAATAAATCATGTGAAGAATGAGTAAAAACCGATATCTGTGAAAAAAAAAATCTTTCGTATTGTCAACCTATACGTTCGATGCTAATCGGATATCATATATATTCGTGCAACTTTTGCAACGTTTGTGTTCGAAATCGATATAAAACGAACCATCAAGATAAATCGCTGTTCTTTTCATCGAATGTAACGTATGACAAACGTAAAATGATACGGTCTCGATGATATCTAGAATAATCCGTGGCTATCCTCAAAACCATTAAAAGACGATACATTCCCCGCATTCGAGTTTGTCAGTTGGTCAAAGTTCCTTGTTTCCCGTAAATAGTCGACCGATGTTGTGTGTTCCCCCCTTTTTGTGGAAACTTCAATCCGCTTCCATCCGCAACATGTTGTCTCAACTGTTTTGTATTTCATCCGGTCGAGTGGTCAGCGACAGACTTATGTCTACAGCTCATGACTTCTCATTATACTTTTTCATCTCTTTAATTTGGCTAAGCTTGTTTTGTAGCATTTTCTTGTTTTCTAATATTTTTTGTTATTTCGAAACAATAAAGTTTCGCTCGGTTTAGAGCCGCTACGCGTCTTTCATAAATTCGAAATTTGTCTAGTCAATAAATCAAAGATAAAAATCGAGCCATTTAAAGCATCCACACATACACATACATACACGTGCCTTATTCTCGTTTCATAGGCATAAGCTGTCCGTCAAAGAACATTTTTCAATCTTTCGCACGTCAAATACATCATACCATCAGTCGCTGTAGCTTGTTACTTGATCACGGATTACGCAATTGATCGAGGATTGTAGGTTTTTAACGGCCACCGCAAATGGAACAAGCGTAAAAACTAACGAGCTTATAGCGCGCTTTGCGATTCCCTTTAATGTAATATTATTGCAAATATACAATGTGTTCTATACATGGTGGTTGCGACCGCGAGATTAAATGCGTCTGAATATTGCAAGAAATAAATAATTGAGCGATAAATACAAACGATTCACTATCCGAGAATTGATGTGAATATTTTCATGCAAATATTAATGTGCAATCACACACGATCACAGAAGAAACCACGTGCGTCACGTTTAGTTATATACGCAGAATTTCGTGATGAGTTCTCTGTTGTCGAATATTATAATCTCGATCGAATAGATCCTATTAACGTGATACAATTTTAAAGATAAAGATAATAATTATAAATGTCCAAAGAAATATAAATATCTAGATAATAAGTTGCATTGCAACGAATATTGAGTTCCGTTGCTACTGTCATTTAGTTACTGTCACGCGAATGGATTAACAGGATAAATCACAATGTACCGCACGAAATTGAACGATTTTTAGTAATCTAAAGCTATCATTTATGCTTATTTCAGCGAAATGTACATAAATGCGGGTTTGATTTAAAGCTCGAATTAATACGAAACGGTTCGGTTTATTTTGCAGTTGATTAATATGTGTCTGTACTGATATATCAACTGCACGTGCATTTAACATGTAGCGCAATGATGTCTAATATTATGTGTCACCTGTATAATCGATATATATCCGACAAATATGCAATATTTGATGCATATTTTATTCCAGCAAAAAAGCTAATTATTCGTTTCTGTTATTTTTATGCTTAATTATGTGAACTAATTACATAAATTGTGTGTATTATTCTAAAGATACAATAGTGATTTTTTTAGCTTAAAGAGATTGATTTTCTTAAGAAGATTCTGTTTTCGAAAGATTCTGTTCACGCTATGCTTTTCCCAATTGAAGTAAAGGTCAACAATCAATCAGACGTAAGTCGGAAATTATATGCTCCTGATTAGATTCATTACATTACCTGGCATAATGGATACAGTCTTAAGTGCTCTCAACACCCTGAACGTCCTGAGACCGGCCAGATTCCCGACTTCCATCCCCATAGTCGCGTATCCGCTGGTAATCACCACGAAGTCCAACCAATTCCATGGATTCCGTAGATAAGTGTACTTGTTCAGTATAAATCCCTTCGCTATTGATTTTATCACCATTTCCGCCGTGTATATGCCTAGGAAAACATATCTAGAACATGAAAAACATTGCAAACGCCTGAATTACTTTGAACATCGGATCAATGTGTGTTAACATGTTATCGATATCAATACTGTTTATCGAGAAATCAATATATACAGGATACGCTCAAATTTTCGCAGTTTTGTTTATAATTAATTTCCATGGATTTATTCTATGAAAGTTATCTTTCTTTAGATCTTTATTATCTTCGAGAAATTTATTAAATTTTTATATTTTTTAAACAATGTTTTCTATATATAAAAACTGCTGCATTTTAAAATATACATAATTACGATTTATAAATCTTTCATCTTAATATTCAAACAATAATGACATATGAATAACAAATTATTTTGGTTTTTTTCTTTTGATCTTGAAGAAAAGTCATATATTTATATATAATTAAAAATAAATAAGCAATCTACTAATTATAATAGACACACATACACACACACACACACACATACACGAAATAATATTTTTATACGATTGATTAAAGAATATACTTTAACTTGATATACTTGAAATTATGGGCCTGGACCAATATAAATCATCTTGTCTTGTCTAACTACCTGTATCAATCATGTCAAGTGTGTTAGTACACAGACTGTTAGTAATCAATTTAACTTTTTCAGTAATATAAGAACATCATGTTTATAAATAGAGTAGTAATTTCATGAAAAATCTATGCGAATCATTATATTACATTCATGCTGTTACATATGTTAAAATATTGCGCACAGACTGTTATACAAGAGACATGGAGAAAAATTCTAATTTCATTTTTGAAAATACTAAAAATGCTTTCTACATATAAAGAAAAATTCTATTTATTAGTTTAACAATTCTGATTGGTTTCCGATTAATTCTGATTGGCGCTAAAAATAAGAATTTTCTTTGCTAATTTTTCTTCTCCGCCTCTTCAACTTTCGTCCATGTCGGCAAAGAAAGAATTTCAGTCCAATTTGTCGAAGCGAGAAGGTGCGCAGCATGAGAAGAGACAGAGAGAGAGAGAGGGAGAGAGAAAGAGAGAGAGCAAATCTTTAAATCTCCATCCGCGTATCTCGGACGTTGCGCCCTGCGGCATTCCATATCTGCACGGATGCACCGCCGTGCATCCCACAGCCTGCATTCTGCTCCGAGAGCATGGAATAACCGCGGTGCGGTCCGCCTTTATTTTCGCTTTTGTATGATGCGAGATGAGGTTCTCTCCTCTCGCGTAGTTTGCGCGACTCGAACGATTTTAATGAACATTTCGCGTGCATACTTATCGAGAGCATTTGAGTTATCGATTTCCAAGTGTTTCCCTTATTATTATTGTTCAGAAATAATTAAAATAATGCGACAACATCAAAATAAAACTACCCTATAAATATTGTTAGTATGGACGTTATTCGAGACTCGTATTGTGATAATACTTTGATCGAATTTACTTTATTATCAAAAATAAATTTTAAATTTAATGTTTCTCCTTTCTCTTTTTTTCATGATATTAATAAGAAAATAAATATTTTTCAATAAATTGTAAATTATTTGCTTAAAATATACATACATCAAAATCTCATCCTTAATTGAGTTAAGCCAATTAACTTTACGAAGCAAACTTTAAAGAGATCACTTAATCACCATCCTAAAAGCTCGTTAATTTGACACGCCTTCGCGGCTCAGGCCGCAGTTGCGGAAAATTACGGCGGGACACATTCGGCGGAAGCAAGTTAAACGAATTGCTATCCGCAGTTGACGACAAGAACTGTCGCGAGTTACTCGCTAGAGAATACTTAGCTTAAGAGGATTACATGCTAAGTGAACACATATGAAATGAAGGCTTGTGCATGTTTAAAAAGAACCCGTCAATCCTCGCCGTTAAACTCCTCGAATGTACAGATTTCGATTAATTGATTGAAGTCTAATTCAAGCTTGCAATTAGTTGAGGGCGGCACGCATAATGACAATGCGTTGAGCTATAGAGATTTATTATCAATATTATAATTTCAATAAAAAGTACTCGTTTATTATATAAAGAGATTAATGACCCTCAAGATACTTAAAAAGTAATATAAAAAATATTATTACGCGGAAAAAGAAAAGAAGAAATTGAGACTTTTATGTAAGTACATATTTTAACGCGTTAAAATATTATTTTATATATGATTTTATGTATTTTAGATATTAGTAATGGTATCCCATAGTATATAATCATTTTGTTAATTCCTACAAGTTAAACATTTAAAATTAAAAAGCTAAAAGCAAAAAACAGATTTTAATCAGATTTCTTCTAAGAAAAAATTAATTTTAAATTCATTAAAAAATACGTGTTTTCATTTTTAGAGAAATGCGATTATATTATTTTACATGTATATATTGAAATCATAAACAAGTAAGCACAGATTCATTCAGTAATAGTTTACTGCTAACCGACTAGTCACTGCTATTGAATAATCATGAGACCAGTTTATACTTACTCTGCTTCCTCCATGGTTTCGGTCATGGCCAGGAAGACGCAATTAAGAAGTATAGTAGTCATGACCACGTAATCGAAGTACTGATTCGTACTTAGAAAGATACAGAATCGTCGTACAGGATTCCACGGAGAGAATATAAACCAACTATTAGTCGCCGTAAACCTATGGATGTAATTCTTGCGAAACCTCTTGGACACCACGCAGAATGTCTGAAACAAAAATGTAAATGCGTTTCTATTATTTAATTTGAATCTGGATTTTTTAAAATCTAGGTTCTCTCTTATTGTTAATCGGAGTGAAAGAAAATTAAAATAGATTTTTTTTACCGCAAGATATTTTTATAATTGATATAGCTAATATAAATAATATGTTTATAGAGAAAATTTACTAAAATACGTAGATTTCTTTGATAAAATTTAGAATATAGAGAATTATAAGCTGCTCGACCATAAGCCCTAAAGACTTGCTCCGCTCGGGGACTATAATATATTTAGGTCAATTTAGCGAGAAGATCAGTGCCCGTTACGAGAGCTCTATGTACCTATCAAACAGAACATGTTGCATATCATTTATTTTAAATTAATAACTCATGCAGTTTTATAAGATAAATAGTATAAAATTTTTATCAAATAAATACAATACAGCTAATGGACTTGTTGCGTTTGTATAATTTTTTAGACACATTAAATATCTTATTAATATCGTTGTAAATCAGATATTTCTTTAGACACAGTGAATATCTTATTAATATCGCTGTAAATCAGATATTTCTATTAAAATAACTCGATTTTTAATTGAAATTGAAATGAGTTATTAATTGAAAAGAATGCCGCTGTTTGAGAGAGAGAGAGAGAGAGAAATACCCTTCTGAAAAATATATTTCTTAAAGCATCTTTATATTTATATTGCAAATTTCCGACCATGTTCTGGATAGTTGTAAAATTAAAATGTTCTTCTAAAATGATAAAATATATTTCTGAAGTTTTTTGTTCACAAAAGGCCCTTATCTTTAATCTTTAATAATTTCGTAATTAAATCTCAATATTGCTAAGAAAAGAAAAATTTTACATTCATATAGAAAACGTTTTACTATCTTGTAGCTGTTTCAGTCTATTACATATATATATATTTTATATACATTACTATACATATATATTTTACATTTGTATGAATGAATTAAAGTGATTTAAGTTGATTAAAATAAAGGAAAGGGATGGAGGAGAAGAGTGTATAAGTGAGTTATCTTCGAGCAATTTAGAATTGCATCAATAATTACGTCAATAAAATTAAATTCTGTTATTAAATAAAGAATTTTTTGTACCATTTTATCCACGTTCATAGTGAGATTGTAGAAAGATGCAACACTCGGCACTTTATTGAATACAGCGCTTGAGTAACGCGCTAAAACAGCGCAGTCTCCAAAAGCGGCAGTGGGTCAACGTGTAATTATTAATGAATCGTTTCAGCATTCGTAGATAACATCGCACGTCGGCGGAATATCTGCGAATTTAGGCGATGATTCGCAGGATAATTTTAAAGCCAGCACGCGATCATCTGATTATTTTCTGTTCAAAACGCTAATTTGTTAACTGCTTCCTCGAGGAAGGATTCGAAGATATTTTTTCTCTCTATTCGCATAAATATTTTTGGTCCAAATGGCCTTAAAGTCTCTAATTTAGAAGCTTTATTTAAAAAAATACGAATTCTGTCGGTGAAAAGATGGAAAATGAAAAATTTATTTCGTACTGAATAAAAAAAAAAAAATCTAGCGTTTTAAAAAGAACTCACATTTCATTTTGCTTAATTAATTCAATTGTTTGTATGACGTTAAGAAGCATTTTGATTGATCTATATTTATTCTTTATTTTAATTAATATATATAGTAAAAAACAAAAAATATACTATTATAGTAAAAAAAAATATATTATTATAGTAAAAAATCTTTTTAGAAAATCGAGTTTATAATATTCTTGTTTTTTCGTAACCGTCTGGTTTCCACTTTCTTCTCCCCCCTCCCCCCTCCATTTTAAGATGCGTGCCTTATCTTTGTATAAATCATCCTGCATACTCGATTATCGTGAAAAAGCGGCTTTTCGAGTGTCTTACAATCGGGATGCTTTAACGCGATGCATCGCGTAGAAGGCACATTCCATGCGTCCCCGAGACGCGCGTCATGTCACGCATCGCGTTCCAGTGGGACGCGCGCCCGGCAAGTGGATGCGGATCGATGTTGTCAGACTAGAAAGCGCGGACAATGAGATTCGTCGACGGATAATTTCCTAAGCGCGCGGCCCGTTTGGCATCGCGTCCGGAAACCTCGATAGGGATGCTCGTAAACGCGCGCCGCGGAAACGGAAACGAACGCTCGTTGGAGTGCGATGCACCGACGGATTATGATAAGACATGCTAATAGCACGTGTCTTTATACTTATCACCTTTCTTAATTTCTTCGGTTTGCAATTAAAAATTTCTTTCATTTGCTTTTTTTTTTCAATCGATCTTTCTCGAAGATATTTTTTCTCTCTATTCGCATAAATATTTTTGGTCCAAATGGCCTTAAAGTCTCTAATTTAGAAGCTTTATTTAAAAAAATACGAATTCTGTCGGTGAAAAGATGGAAAATGAAAAATTTATTTCGTACTGAATAAAAAAAAAAAAATCTAGCGTTAGAACTTCAAAAGAAAAAAATTGGAATGAACGACAATTTTAGTAATATAATTTAAAAAGAACTCACATTTCATTTTGCTTAATTAATTCAATTGTTTGTATGACGTTAAGAAGCATTTTGATTGATCTATATTTATTCTTTATTTTAATTAATATATATAGTAAAAAACAAAAAATATACTATTATAGTAAAAAAAAATATATTATTATAGTAAAAAATCTTTTTAGAAAATCGAGTTTATAATATTCTTGTTTTTTCGTAACCGTCTGGTTTCCACTTTCTTCTCCCCCCTCCCCCCTCCATTTTAAGATGCGTGCCTTATCTTTGTATAAATCATCCTGCATACTCGATTATCGTGAAAAAGCGGCTTTTCGAGTGTCTTACAATCGGGATGCTTTAACGCGATGCATCGCGTAGAAGGCACATTCCATGCGTCCCCGAGACGCGCGTCATGTCACGCATCGCGTTCCAGTGGGACGCGCGCCCGGCAAGTGGATGCGGATCGATGTTGTCAGACTAGAAAGCGCGGACAATGAGATTCGTCGACGGATAATTTCCTAAGCGCGCGGCCCGTTTGGCATCGCGTCCGGAAACCTCGATAGGGATGCTCGTAAACGCGCGCCGCGGAAACGGAAACGAACGCTCGTTGGAGTGCGATGCACCGACGGATTATGATAAGACATGCTAATAGCACGTGTCTTTATACTTATCACCTTTCTTAATTTCTTCGGTTTGCAATTAAAAATTTCTTTCATTTGCTTTTTTTTTTCAATCGATCTTTCTAATACAGTATATAAAATATACAAAGTTTTAAAATTATAATAAATTTGTACACTATGTAATGTTTAATTAACATTTTCTTTGTTTATTTCCATTTCTTACTGATTTACGTAAAAAAAGAACTGTAGTAGTATAATAACAGTAAATGATTTCTGGCGGCGCGAGTAGTTACGGTCCGCGAATAGTCAGCCGCACGATAAACGCATACGTTCGAGCATGACACGTTTTCACAAATAAAAAATATATTTTCTTATTTCACAGATTACTAGCGATAATCGTTTAGTGACAAGCATTCACTTAAAAATTCAGTACATCTTACATCTCCTAAAGATTTATACTATTTTTCCTTAAAATGAAAATGTTATCTTGGGCTTCAAGATATCTGGATCCACTACTGCGTTTGCGGAAAGCATGTCGTGAACTGTAATCAGACCACAGCGACAAACGCTTTAAATGCTCATGTACGATTTACATATGTGTAGCGGTGCATAGGATGCACTTATCTTGATTACTCGGAATGGTTTCACCCTTGTGTCTCTAATCGATCATTCCCTCCTTCGCACAATACGATAAAGACTGATAAATAAAAACAAAATAGAATTTTATTTTTTGTTAAGACCGAAGAAAAATTTGGTATGTTTCAAATATGCAAGTCATTTCAAAGTAGTTTACATAAAATATCTCAAATAATTTTAAATAACGTTAAATAAAATGAATCAAATTCTGAAAATAACTTCGACGTGTCAGATTCTGATAATAGTTAATAATATGCAATTAATACGAAGAAAACTCAAAGAAAAATATAATTGGAAAGTCAAATTTAGATTTTTTTTTCGTTCAAGTATCGCTTATATCAGTGCTTTTTCAATCATTACTTCATAATCAGTCATCATGATTCTGTTAAAAAAAAAGTTTAATATTGTGAATCGACAAATATAACAGCGTATGAGATTATAGCCGTTCTGTGGCACACACGTAATAATCTAATCTTCGCTCCACTGCACTCTTTAGCTTTTCAGTTCCCCGAAGGAAGTCATCGACGTCACCTGACCGCGAAGACATCGAAACCGACTTGACCGCGCGCAATGGCGCGCTTCCGTCGGAGACGCATGTATTATTTATCTAGAGCAGAGAGAGACGTGTGTGCAAGTGCCAAGCGATACTTCGTGCTCGACGTTGACCTGGTTGGTGAGTTGGTCGGCCGTTGGTCGGCTGGCTGGTGCACGTGTTGCTCGCACGGAACATTCAAGGCGCGGATCGATATTTAGTCGGAGCAACGGAAAGCGCCAGTTTCCGGTAATGGTGATGATGATTGTGTTGTCCTGTCTATGTTCCCTGTTTGCGAATCACACGCGGGTCGTTAAGAAAAGAAGGAAAGCGAAAAATAACGCTCCTTCCGGAAATCGTCTAGCATGAAACCGAATACATCACGGGCCTGGAAGTGATATTAGAATTCACACTCAATGTCAGTGTTTGACTACCATTTAGGTAGCAATCTCTTTTTCGAGCTATTTTTAGGAAGGTGGGAATGAGCCGCATGATGCCTATTTAGATGTAATCTAAACACGGATATAGAGTCTAATATAGTAGAGATATGTTAACGGCTGATTACACTAAGACCTCGGTTAATGCCAAGTCAAGCGATTAAGGGTTAAAGGCGTCAAACCAAACAATCAACAGATATTATCCTTTATGTTCAGCAAGCTGACCCTTCTCGTCATATATGATAGTATCTATACATAATTACGATCCAGAAACACT